CCACACCCATTGTATTTCACTGATAACTCTGTGGTTCTATATCAGGATTCTGCATCAACAGGTATGGTCACACCTACTATGCAGATGCAATATATTGATCTCAACATTTACTGTTTCAAACTGGCAAGGAAGTGAGCATAAAAGATGTGTGTCCTCCTTTTTAAACCAGTTCACTTAAATTTGAATCACAATAACAAACAGAGTTTCACAAAAGGCGCCCTGAACTAAAAATGAACATGTATCCTAGGAATTATTTGTATTTTGGGATTATGGCCAATGCAGATAAATGCAACATGTTTTAAAACAAAGATAATTATGTTATTTTAAAGGGAAAATCAGCTCTATCTCCATATGATTTGGGGGTGGAGGGCAGGGAAACATAGCTGCCTGGAGAGATTAGATTTCTCTCTCTATCATTTAGCTTTCTGTGCACATCCCCTCACAAAATGTCAGAGTAAAGAGTATGGTGAAATTTAGAGAACAACAGGCACATATATACTTAACCCACGTACCAAGTCCACAGGACATTAACCCTAGTAAGAAATCCAGTGTGCATGAACCCAATTTTCACCTCAGCCTGGGTCAGCCTGTCAAGAACATCAGTCATTCCAACCTAGACAATTTAGTTTTAACTCCTCTAATGAACAATCCACACATTCCAGTTGACCACAGCACTTTCAAAGACTATTGAACAGAAAACATTATCTTAAGTATTAAAACTTCTAATAAGTTGACAAGAAAATAGCAACCCTGAGTCATACCTGCAGTGTAAATATCAGAGTCCTTTATCATAGAAACCAATGTATCAGCAGACACGCAAGCTTGCTAATACTCAAATAGAGAAGCCATGGCCTACAGTCAACACAGTATTCTCCAGTACAGGATTAAAAAATCTCAAGGAGAAATGGGATCAAGGCACCAACATCATTAACAACTCAGACACATCTGGGAAAATACATGACAAAATATCAAGAACAAGGAACGGGAAATAATCTTAATTTTTTACCAAAATAAAAGGATCAAAATTGGTATTACTGGATTCCAGAGAGGCTGTGTAAGGATATTTGAAAAACAAACACACAGTAATCACCAGAGATAATGATGACCACATGTCAATGTCATCTAAGACCTGATCTTTAGATCAATTCCATAATGTACACCTGGCCTAAATTATGTTCTTATTGGGGAACAATACATTTAAAAAACTATGCAAGTCTCTGTTTGGCTTTGGAACTACCATACAATCCACTTAACCAGGTCAGCTGCAGGATCTGAACATTCTGATCAAACATATAAAGTGACTCTGAACATAAGAACAGCCATGTTGAGTCAGACCAAAGGTCCATCTAGCCCAGTATCCTGTCTGCCAACAGTGGCTAATGCCAGGTGCTTCAGAGGGAGTAAACAGAACCAGTAATCATTAAGGGTACGTCTAGACTACATGCCTCTGGCGACAGAGGCATGTAGATTAGACTACCAGGCATAGGAAAATGAAGCGGTGATTTAAATAATCGCCGCTTCATTTACATTTACATGGCTGCCGCGCTGAGCTGATCAGCTGTTTGTTGGCTCAGCGCGGTAGTCTGGACATGCGGGGGTCAACATCAAAGGCATTTGTCGACTACCCAGGTATGCCTCATCCCAGGAGAAAACGGAGTTCTGAAGCATCTTTAACCCTCAAAGTATGTTACTGTTAACACACAGACAGCTAGAGTGTCAGGTTGTATGTGGAGGTGGGCTAATTTACATCAACGGAGGATCTGACCTAGATTTTTTTTTAAAATGCAAAAAGTAAACAAACAGGCGTAGCTAAAGTTGAGATTTAAAAAACAAAATCAAGTGACTTTTGCTTTTAAAAATCAAAGGATAGAGAGAAATAATTTAAATATAGTTAGATCTATATCTTGCTCTTTTTCTTGTGTTTAAGGAATGTGTATCAAAAATTGACATACTGAATGATGCTATCACAGGTTTTTTTAATTCCACCATTACCAAAAATATACTATATCCATAGCATAACAGAAACCGCTAATTCCCACCTAACTCTGAGAATCAAAGCAGTGCCATTGGTACCTGACTTTCATGAGCATTTCCCCAAATCCAGATAAACTTTTAAAAAAAGACACAAAATCTATTAATAATGATTGCCTGATCAGTTGTCTTCCTGTCTCTAGAGTTTGATTCTGCAAAGACCTATGCAGATATTAAACTCTACACATTACAATGGGATTTGTCTTCAGTGGGACTACGGTACTCCATAGCACGCAAATTTAAGTATGTGCACAGGTCTTTGTAGGACTGAAGGGGAGCTCTTCCTTCTCTTCCTCCTTCATGGATGTTCACATAAACTTTGTAATATGAAACATTCTAAGGAAACTTTTAAAACTCAGCACAGGATTCTGTATCACAAAATGAAAAATTAGGCTACTAAAGTTAAAGAAAATAAAATATTAATGAATATCCAGTAAGATGATGTGAAAAAATCAAAAACTTATTAAAGGAAAAACATGTTTGTTCTCAAAAACTCATCTAGCTTTAAAAATACACCAAAGCATTTTTAGATACAAGAAAGCTAAGGTATACAGATTAGTAAAATATATTATTTTATTTCTACAATGCTATAGGATTAAATAGCAATTTACAAGATAACAGGAATTGCATATTCCACAGATGAACTCTAAGTAGACAGCACAGAGATCATTATTCTAGTCCCATGTACTTCGGAAAAAAGAGGAGGATGAGGAGTGCAAAATTTCTCTGTATATGTATGTATATGACACAGCACTCTTATTTTCCACTGGGATAAATTGGCTTTTTTAATTCTTTAAGTCTGGCACAGTATCAAAGCAGACATAAAATAGTCACAAGGCTCAATTTAGAAACATAATTTTTCTTATGTTTAATTTTTATGAAGATCTTCCTGCAAAGCTACAAACAATGGCCTGGCCAGAAGTCACACCATATTGAGGTCATCCTTTCTTGGATGGTCTTGTTTAAAGAGGCACTTTGCCAAAAGGTAAACAGAGGTCTGCCAAAGATCTGAGGAATTACAAGTCCACTGACGCTTAATCAGGGACCCTACTAGATCTATCACAAATAAAACAACTCAATAGCTTGTCTGTTATACAGGTTGAACCTCCCTGGTCCTGCACCCAGGGACCTGACTGGTCCTGAACCAGGAAATTTATTGGAGCAGGAGAAGTCAGTGCCAGCACTTTTTCTGGTCCCCCTCTTCTGGCTGTGGGTCTCTGAATCATCTAGTCTCTTCTCCCGAGGGCATCCCATCTCTGCTCCTTCCTCTCCCTGAGGTTGAGCACCACAAATCAGATGTTTGTGGTGCTCCAGATCTAGGAGGCCAGGGGAGGAGTTGTTAAGCATAGGGCTGCCAGTGTATAAGGGGAGGAGGAGAGGAAAGAGCTTAGTGCAGTTTTTAACTCGTGAATGTTCTAGCCCATAAAGTCATTGATGATGCTGGACCAGATGTTGCCGGATGAGGGAATTGCAGCTTACAGAAGTCCAACCTGTATATGTGATGGGATTGATGGGTGTATTAAAAGAAAGAAGGATCAGATATCTGATGGCCATTAACCAAAAGACTTGTTCTTAGTTTACTGAAGCCAGTGAAATGACTTCCATTGACTTAAGGAGGTAAGGATAAAGGCCCTTTGTGAACCTCACCCTGTGCAGAAACAAAACACAAGACACAGACCCCACTTGTGCTGGCTCTCAGCATGCAATGCCAAGAGTTTTCCCAGTTGTTCAGGACTGAGGTAGTGCTTTACACATGTTCATCTCTCATCCTATAGTATTTCTAGAATACTGATCATAGGAAATGAATGCAGTGCAGGCTATAGTAACTGCAGATTGAGCAGACAACAAATAGGATGCCTGTTTCTCCATGGTATAGATTAGTATTTTTGAAAGACCTGGAACTACAGTGATTATAAATACATTATTTTTACAATTTACATGAAAAGCCTGGCTCTGGAGTGTATGGCTCCTTAAATGTACGTACTCAGATCCCAAATGGCCTGTTTGTGGTGCATTTTTGGCCTTGCCTCACTAGGAAATTGGTGCTAAAAATTCTCTTTCATTGCAACCAGTGCAGTTTCACTACTGGGATTACTAATGTAGACTGAATGCCTGCAACTGCCATTGTCTTAAACACCATGGCTATGGCTACACTGTTATCCTTCTTCCGGAAAAGCTTATACAAATGAAGCGCGGTGTGGAATATTGCCACGCTTCATTTGCATAATTAATTAGCAGCCGCTTTTGCCCAAGAGGCTTTTGTGCAAGTGCTGTTCTTCCTCATTTTTTCAGGAAGAACGGCTCTTGCGCAAGAAGGGGGTTTTGTGCAAAAAGGAGCCATATACACAACTCCTTTTTGCACAAAAGCCTCTTGTGCAAAAACGGCTTCTAATTAATTATGCAAATGAAGCGTGGCAATATTCCACACCGCGCTTCATTTGTATAAGCTTTTCCGGAAGAAGGATACAGTATAGCCATAGCCCATGTTGTGTAGACTTGTTCTGACTAGCCAAACAGTTAATGCCCTCTCTACATCAGTGCTCCTATCACTACATAAAGCCACTTTACTCCTGGCCATGCTCCTCAGACTCCTACCTAAGGGATGCAGCACAGGATTAGGGCCTTCCTGACCAATCTGAACATTCCTCTCTTTTTGCAAACCACGTACTCACCTAGCTACTAGGAAAGTTGCTTTGGAAATGCTCCTAAAAATGTATTTCCAGAGAGACAGAGAAAGAGAGAGATTTCTTTTCAAATCCTTCTATAAAGTTCAAAAGCCCCAAGAGAATTCAGTCAGTTTAGAACAATGTTGTCCCTCTGATGCAATGTGTCATGAAGCTGAAAAGAAGTCCTACTTGTTTATGTTCTGTGCTGTTTGATTTCACATGAAGTTTGGAAACCCTGCTGACATTAAAAGATTTGAGCTTGAATACATTTTATTGTCGTTGCATGAAAGGTTAAAAAAATACCTTTTCCAGAGCATCTCTATCGACCAGCTCCTGTACTGCCAAGAGCTTGATGCTGTAAGAAAGAAACACACAAAATTAATCATTCAATGGCAGACATTTTCACAGCACCTAGTTACACCAGGACTGAAATCTTCCCTTCACTTTTTTTTTTTCTTTCAGAAGGTTTAAAATGCCCATTACATGAGGAAGCATGCATGTGCTTTGTTTGATCTGACATAGATGTCCTCCATAGACTTTTTGGTTCCTAAATTATTAAGCATATTCAAATTCACCATTTAATAGTAGTCACCCTGATCATCCCATTTTCATTGTTTAAAACAACACAAAGATCTCTTGAAAACAAAACAATTAAGAGGTATTTAATAGCATGGGCATTTTTCTATCCAAAAGTTTACAGCTCTGCAGTTGGCTCCTTCTTCTTCTTAGATATCAACAATTTACTCCCACCCATCCACATACGAAAAAAAAGAAAGAAGTATAAGATTTACCCCTTTTCTCTTCAAAACTTTATTCCTTCACCGTTACAAAAATCTCTTCTTTATTTAGCCTACCATGGACGGCTCACAAAATAACTAAATCTTGCTCATTCTATGCCAGCTGTTCTCAAATAGTAAGGCCCCGTTTCAATGGGGTCACCAGGACTGGTGTTAGATTTGCTTGGGCCCAGTTGTCAATGCCTGGAACCAAAGCCAAATCACAATCGTTTCAGCCCTTGGTGGTGGGGCCCAGGTTACAGGATCCCTGCCTGGGGCTGAAGTCCTTGGGCTTTGGCCCTCCCACCTCAGGTATTGGGACTCAGGTGGGCTCGTGTTTTGCCTCTCCCCTGGGATCATGTAGTAATTTATGTTCTCAGAAGGGAGTCACGGTGAAATGAAGTTTGAGAACTCCTGCCCTGTGCTAATGACTTCAATGGGATCGTATGTAAGAAAAGCAGTATTTGCCTAATAAGACACACAAAAGATGTGACATCATCATTAGGTAAAAGCATGCACTGAAGCATGCATCTCTCTACTGCATCATCATGTTAATCAGGACTATACTATACAGAAATTACCCCACTATTCTTTTGCTACATTCACTGACCAAACCACTGCCCTAGTTCTTTGTACACGTGCTTTTTTCCAAATTCCGATCCCATTCTAATTCCTATTGCATGTTTACTGACTTTTTTTCCCCCCACTCTGAGCCTGATATGCACATAATCCAGGGGATTAACTCAAGGTTCACAGGCAACACACTCATTTTTCATCCAGATAATTAAGCAACAGTTATGGTCAAGATCTAATGTAAATGGCTATTGATTTCAAGGGAGCTATGAAGATTTACACCACAAGAAGAAATGGCCCTGTTTGATCTTTCACGAGAGAAGAGATAAACGAAACAAGTGCTTTTTAAGTCAATTTATAACAATTCTCTTTAAACTGGTTATAAACAAAGTTAGCTAGTGAGTGGCAGGTTAAAAATCACATTTAACAGCATTATAAACTCACTATACTTAACAGTACAAGGAAGCTAGTTTCCGGCCACATCCCATGTGGTACTGAGAGCCTCATGGAAGGTGTTGAGCATCCTTAACTCTAGTACAGTGTTTCTTAAACTTAAGACCAAGGAACACCAAACAAGGATTTTTTTGTTGAGAGAAAAAAAAAAAAAAAAAGTCAGGTGCAGGGCGGAGGGGCGGGGGAAAGTTACTGAGGAAAAAAAGGGTCAGGGGAAAGTTAAGAAAGTTATTGAAAAAAAAAAAAGCCACCTGCCCCTTTCAGGGTGCCCATTTTGAATTCTGTTGTTCTCTGCGGCACATCTCCAACTGCCTCGCAGCACACTGGTGTGCCACGGAACACAGCTTAAGAAACACGGCTCTAGTAGGAGCAAGAGCCCTTCTGAGTGTATTTCAGTTTTGTAGTCTTGACTATGGGTTTGAAAATAAATTTGGATTCAACCACAGTAACAACCAAGTTAACTCCATGTCAGTCTAGCAGGAAATGGGACCAGAACAGTGTTCAAAATGAAGATATGTTTCTCTGTACTAGGGATGCGAATAGTTAATTAGTTAACCTTAACAAGTGAGGCTTACTGGTTCTGGTTTGCCTGCATCTTTAATCTGTTAACTGGTCAAACATAATGTTTAACTGGTTAACCACTTAAACTGGATTCTACATCCCTCCTCTGTATTGAAGCCAGGTCATTCTCCCACCTTGTAATGAGGTACAGATCTCGGGCATTCCAGGGCTCTGTCAATACGAGGGAATTTTAGGGGGGGGGGAAATTCTCATTTATAATACCCTCATTTCAGCTGCATTTTTAATCAGGCTGGTAGGAGCTCTGGTGCAAATAAATCTTTGTGGCTTCCGGTGTCTTTACAAATGAAAAAAGAGCATAACAATGAGGAGTCTGGTATCATTTCCCCCTCCTTTTTTGCAACTTCAAGCCAATTTTATACTACACTTACTTCTGAAGAAACCTTAAGTACTGTTTTATATACATTACTTACGAAGAGTGCTGTCCACTTCAGATTTTAGACTTGATTCAACCCTGTTTGGGTAACAGGTGAGAAACTCCCTGCCACTGTACCAGTAGAGTCAGTGGAGAAGCCAAAAACACTGTCTGCACTTTTTCCTAATCCTGTAGGCATCAGCTATAACGTGAAGTGAAGGCTAACCAAAGTAGGCAATAAATCAGTAGCCTCAGCCATACCACCTAGAAGAAACATGTACCTACTTTAGGGATTGCAATAATACTTTAGGGATTACTGCAGCTCTTCTGGCGGAAGAGGGACATTCTCCACCAGTGTTCTGCATTATGCTGATATTGCTGCTCCAATTACCATGCTTTCTTTCTAGTCTTTCAACCAGATTTGTCCACGTGGCCCTGAGGAAGCTCCACTTTTCCCTAGTGTGCCATTTAGTGGCATCATGGCAGGGAATATTTCTCACAGCCACTGCTAAAATGACTTTGTGATTCTGGACAGCTACAAAAGTGCTTTTAAAGAATAAAAATGGATTTACTTCTGAGTCCATGCTAGGACCTGATGCATAAGCCTGCCAGAGGAAGCCATTTGTAGCATACAAGACCTATAAAACCCTGGAATTATGTTGCATTTCTTGACTGGCATCTTATTTATTAACCAATATATACCGTATATTCCGGCGTACAAGACGACCTCTGATGTTAAAAAACATCCCCCAAAAATCGGGGGTCGTCTTGTACGCCGGATGCCCCGCCGCCGGAGCCCCTCCGCGGCTTTGAAAGCCTCGGGGGAAGCCGGCGGCGGGGCATCCCAGGCGCGCATGGGCTGCCCCCCCGCCGGAGCCCCTCCGCGGCTTTGAAAGCCTCGGGGGAAGCCGGCGGCGGGGCATCCCAGGCGCGCATGGGCTGCCCCCCCGCCGGAGCCCCTCCGCGGCTTTGAAAGCCTCGGGGGAAGCCGGCGGCGGGGCATCCCAGGCGCGCATGGGCTGCCCCCCCGCCGGAGCCCCTCCGCGGCTTTGAAAGCCTCGGGGGAAGCCGGCGGCGGGGCATCCCAGGCGCGCATGGGCTGCCCCCCCGCCGGAGCCCCTCCGCGGCTTTGAAAGCCTCGGGGGAAGCCGGCGGCGGGGCATCCCAGGCGCGCATGGGCTGCCCCCCCGCCGGAGCCCCTCCGCGCCGCCGCGGAGGGGCTCCGGCGGGAGGGGGGGGGCAGCCCAGGCGCTCCTGGCGGCTTTGCTCCCGGTGCCTCTGGGCTGCTGGGGACCATCTCCAGCAGACCAGGGACACCGGGAGCAAAGGAGGCGGAGGGGCGCTGGGGTATAAGATGAAACCCTATCTTTTAATTAAAAAGATAGGGGGTCGTCTTATACACCCAGTCGCCCTATACGCCGGAAAATACGGTAGATACACATGTCCAGATATAAGCATTCCTGTAACAGAAGCTGACATAACACAAGGTTAAATCAAGTCCTTTTTACTACATTTCCATGCCTTCCACTAAGAAATCTCATGTTCTAATCTAAACCCTAAATACAACTATATCTTCACCTTCGTGTAATTCTAATTTTCATATCTCTCCAAATTTCATAATGACCAGGTACACTGAAGTTCCAGGCAATGCTTTTTAGGTCTGCCCGGTCTATTGCTATTAATACAGAGAGGGCTAGCATCCTGATAAAGACAGTTCAGACACTAAATATGCTTCCACTAAAGGCTTACACCAGAGAAAACATAGCTCTAATTTACTGCTGCTGCAAGAGTAAAAGAATTATGGATATCTACTATGATTTACTGCATATGCTGTACAATAATATTCTAGTAGAGCAGGAAGAGGCACTTAAGGAAATGCAATGCTGAAATGAGAGAACCTTTCAATCTATTTATCAGAAAGTTTGTAGTTGAACAAATAAGCACTGATGAAAGAATGCATTTGAATAGAAAATGCTATTAAACCACTGCAGACCAACTGCCTCTTATTTTTTCTTGTTTTCTCCCACTCACTTTATTTAATTTTTAAATTGTGCTTGTGAATTCCAAAGTTGTGAGAGATGCTGGACTGATACCTTGCTCCTTTACTTATCCACAGAACACGTGTAGGACTGGCAACAGCAGTACATTTCTCCTCATATAGCACCATAAATACATCTTACTATTGGAGAAGTTACCTCTCTGGACAGGCAATGCAAACTCCATGTCCTCTGAACTCTTGGTCTCTGAGGCTACGTCTAGACTGCAGGCTTCTTTTGCAAGAAGCTTTTTTTGGAAGAGATCTTCCGAAAAAACGTCTTGCAAAAGAGCACGTCCACACACGAAAGTGCATCAAAAAAGCCTCTTCTCTGATGTAATTCCACTTCAATCATTACAGAAGGCCTCTAAGACTATCAACAGATTTGCAGGTATAAAGGCTTTTTGCTGTGTAGGAACAAACTTCTGTCCTTCCTCGATGCAGGTGGCAGTAGTATATTGCAGATCAGCTAATGGAAATGCTGATACCTATTCTTTTCTCTAACCAACTTACAAAAAAGTCACTTTCAATGCCTTTGTTTTCAGTTCACAGTTGACAGATACCAACCCAAAACAATGCCAGTA